ACATACTTTATGTTAAACTAAACACAAGAGATTCCATTGTACACTTTTGTTTATACTCTTTGACGCGCAAACGATTAAATTAATTAGCGCAAGGATCAAGTTGTTTACCGATGATAACCAAACATTAATACAGAATATCGCATACGCAAAGTTCGTTTGTATGCGAACCAGCGTAGTAACGTGTGCTTGCATGCTGTCAAAACTTATTTGGTATAAATACTACATTAAATATCCACACCATTTATACACATGAAATCCACATTTCAATTTCAGCAATGCATTGCGGTAATAAAATATTTAAAATATAGGCTTGGATATTTACCTAGTGCACACAATATGTTCCGTGCAGCAACACCAGTAGCCTAGCTTTAGCCGCGGTCAAGCTTGTCGCGGAATGTCGCCTATACACAGTACTGTCAGTAGCAAGTCACTAGCAACTAAGGGCATCATTACCTTAAGAATATTTTAAAATTTGACAATAATCTATTTTGTCGATTGCATGCACCATCGCTATATTTTCTTCGCAAAGCTAAAGCTGCAATGTCGCTATTTCTGCCGCCATATTTTTTTCATATTAGTTACATATTTTGTGACCCATACGATCACATATGCAATGTGTTATGATTTCTAACCAGTATAAACAAGTCGCTAATTAATACTTGTGATCTAACTAAATTATTGGTGGTCACTATATTCATTCCCCCCATATATTCGACCATCTACATAGTTAACTGTGTAAAAATGCCTAAGCTAACTGCATGAGCCTAACAATAGTGACCTAAAGAAATAGAACGCATAAATTAGTGGGAAATTTTCGAATCTTCATTTCAAAACGACCGCGCAATCCGCAATCCTAAAGGTCCGAAAATCCGCCCTGCAAAGCAACTTAATACCTCAACCCCGGCAGCAAGACAAAAGTGCACATTATTTTTACTAAAGCATATAGCAATAGCACACGGCCCATATAGAAACCGAGTTTTTAAATCACAAAGAGTGCAAATAATTTTTTTCTGCAAAGCTTATAGCAATGCTGCCGCCCATATAGAAACGACAATGCCAAATGCATGCACAGGGGAGTTTATACTCACCATTTTAAGAAACACCCGATCCTTAACATCTTCGAGACATCTACTTGTGACACAATTTGTGCCTCCTGCTTACAATAAAATTAACTAATCAAGATTTCCCCAGACAGATGATTAAGGCATGCATCAAAGCATCAATCCATTTTGTCTTGCGAAAACTTTTTATATCATATAATTATATATATATATTTCAAGGTAGCATCTACCCACATATTTTTTGACAAATGTCAGAAAAGTTTGCAAACAATTGTTGTTTCAATGTGAGTAAATGCATCCTATTAAATTGTAACCACCAAGCTAACAACTACTCTAACCTCAGCCAAGCCATTTTAAAGGTCTGGCAACCTTTCATGTCATGTTTATTCGGAATGATTGGATGATCGTGGCCCAACTCGATTCCACCGGCCATGGCAAGTAATCTAAAGGATTATATTGCAGTGCGCATTTATATCCGACTCCATTTTACTCGCGTTAGCATATATACATAAAATGCAATTGAGAACGTCTTGTTATACAATTGCATGATCATCTATATGAAATCTTACTTCGAATGCGTGTCATATTTCGATATATGCATGGATCAATAGAGAGCTACAGTTTAGCCAGGCAAACACACTCAAGGAAAAAAAAACTTTAAATCGAGCCAACCGTAATACGAATTCTGTTGATGATTTCATCGATAAGCCTGATTTCAATGCTGGGAGGGAAATAATTGCAAGCGCGCCTAATAAAGTATGCCCAGTCATGACTTGCCTTATATAATAGCTAATGTTTCGTATAGTCTCATACCTTTATATGCAGGGGTAAAACGCCTTGACTTCTCCATATAGATGTTAATATCCAGCAAATATTTGGTTTAGTCTTCGCGAAATTACTGGTAAAGATCTTTACCCGCGCGCTCATATACGCATAAACAGTTGATAGGCGCCATTTCAAATTTGTTCATTTTGCCGCTCTAGCTGGCAGGCTTCAAGGTGCAATGACCATGCATAATTGCAATTTAATATCCGGAATGTAATTTCCTAATAAAGGAGCCCAAATCAAAATTAGTGAATATTTTCCTGTTGCCCAAGCAGCTGATATGTTGTCCAAGCAAGATAAATTCTAATGTTCGTTTTCTGATGAAGTATGGCGAAATATATATAAGCGAAATATCCGAAAGGTCAAACTTAAATGTTTGTACACGTTAGCTTGGCAACTTGCCCTTGGGCTTGGGCCAGTTGTGCGCAAGGCTGCACGCACTTGGTTAAAACATAGCGCTAAACTCAATCTCACAAAACACGGAATTTGTAGACGGCGTCTTTGATGGTTTATGCTAGTTTAATATCAACAAAACTTAAATGGTATAATATAGATCATAATTTCTGTTTTGTTATATTTTTCACACGGGCCACAGCTCTAATTATGTTGACCAGATGATATTTTGTGCATTATCAAAGCCTATAGGCTAAATTTCCCTGAGCAATATTATGATGTTCATTGTACGACACTCTTGTTTTTTTATTGTAATAAACAATGTCACACAATGAACATCATTGATATAGCTTCATTACTTTCATACAGTCTCTATGATTTGTACGATTTGAGACTTTTCCGCGTTCCACGTTTCCGATTCGAGGAGCTAGTCGAGAGAAATCAAATCACAACCAAAATATAGCTACATGCATGGGGAGTGAATTGTGCTGAAATGTGCATATATATATCAACATATATGAAGTAATTTTTTTGTGAATTAAGAGTCTAAATAAACATTTACAATGCATGAGTTATATTTATGCCATAAGTTATATTTATGCCAATTGATACCTTTCAACATGCCAGCAACAATCGAGCCAGATGGCTTAGATCTGGTGAGACAAATATACCCTTTTAAGGAAATAAGACAATTTTGCAAGCGGGGCACTGCTCCAGTTTTAGACTAGATGCACGCGTCATATTTAAATTGCTTGGATATTCATGCAGTGGCATAACGAACAGAGGATGGGGTCTTGAGATATACTTGGTACTGCCGGGTCCCTTAATTCGCTGTTTGTCATTGATCACGTTTTGCTCATATACTATGATGTTTCGTTATCTATTCTGGCCCCCAATAACTGGGGAACCTTATTTTAGTTCTCGTCCTAACCCTACCGAACGCGCGTTAGGTCACTGTATTTATGTCTTCAAATATTAGCTAGGGTATTTCAATTGTTGTATATAATTTGCATGTCAGACTGCATTAAAGACAACGAGCTGAAATGCTGAACCGCATTCTCGTCCTAGGATGCGGTCCTTTATTTTGAATACATTTTAATCAGTAGCTGCTTCGGACGGAGGCCCTGCTATCAGATTATCAGATGTAAATAAATTAGCTTAAATTTATCGCACTTTGTAAATAAATTTACAAGTGCGATAATATGTAACACGCAAAATCCCTCAATTTACTGATTTTAAAATCTGGTTTTGTCTGTTTACATACATTACAGACTTCCGACAATTATGCAACTTAATTAGCACCTTGCCAAGGCATATTATGGCTCGTAATGCTGTAATATATGGCTTGCGACGTTGTTTGTGCGCGCGGTGAACTTTGGCTTTATGGAAGCTACAGAAGTATATTAAAACACAAATTCTAACCATTCAGTGCATTACCGAAGCACAAAAACGATTTTAAAAGAAAGCTTATAACGTGAAATTTGTCGCTAATGAAATAAGAGCACGCTAAGCATAAACCAGAACATGAAGCGCAAAAAAGCATTCGATTAGGCTAAAATGATATAACCCTACTATTTCCTTTACAAGCCTTCTACTAAGGAACTGAATACATTTCTGGGAGTATTTCTGTGTAACACATTCTGCGCTTCTTCTCTAAAGTTGTAACATTGCAAATGTTTAATCGAATGTTGAACCAAATTCAATGCGATTGAACGAAATTCCGGCAAACGTTTCAACGAACGGTAAATCAAACCGTTGAACGCTTTTGGACCAATTTTCGAACGATTTTTCCTAAGCGTTCGAACGGGCAATTTCGAACGATGAACGATCTCGAAAATCGTTTCAACGAACGCTTGAAGCGTTTGAACGGCAAACAAACGGATAACGAACGATATTTTTGAACGAACGAAATAGCGTAAACGTATGTTTTCCCGTGGAAGGTCACATATGTTAATGTAGTCTTTACATATGTGATGTCAACAGTTATTTAACACAAATGTTCGCCTATACTCGCGCGATTCTTTGACGTTCATATGGTAACCGTATTTCTTGTTTCGGATAGGTGGTTTGTTTGAGTAAAAACGAGCTAGTACACTGGCTAGTACACTGTTGGCTTGTTCTCCCTGGATTTCCTGTTTTACTTGCTCTCATAGATATTTAATGGAATATTTTTCCATAATCGCGGGTTAGGACGCGCAGTCAGCAATCCGGCCATCGGGCCTAATAGTGCCATATAAGGCCACATAGGGCCCAAACGGGCCTATGAGCATATGCTCATAAATGTTCATGAAAAGATGCTCATCTGCTCAATGAGATATTTCAGGCCCAAGCTCCTCAAAGGGAGGAAAAAGGGGGTATGGCGAATGCAAAAATGTATGCATTTTTAGAGGGAAATATATATTGGTGTTATGGACAACGCGATGCTTGGAGCATAAATTAAGACACGGATTAACGCTTGTAACAATATAATAAAGTAGAACAATTTTACAAATATTTTAAACATATTGTCCGGGCACTACACTGTTTTCTTGTTTAGATCGTTTGACTTTGTCTTCCTTAAGCAAGAGTTTGCGTTGACAAGCCCGGACTTTTCCGGGGCTAATACGGGGCTAATAAAATACCTGACCCACGAAAAAATGAGCCAATTATTATTAGGAATTTGTTAAGCAATCATCTTAATATGCGTCGCACGCGTAGGAACTGTCCTGTATTTGGCTGTGTAGTATAAATTTAGCAAGGTTAGCAAATCATCTCGACCAAGTACACGGTATGAGCACAGAGGAACACTGCGCACTGCGCAAAAGGTGAAGTCCGCCATGTTTTTTGCCGCGAGATGACGAGGTTCGCTGGACATCAGTTTCAGTGAAGGCCGCATCGCTACTTCCGCTATGGGGTAAAAAAGAAAAAATATTTCATTTAAAATACTTTATAGTTTATATAGTCTATATCGTAAAAATACACACTAAATGCACACAGGGCCGCCGAGAGAAATTGTAGGGCCCGGGGCAAAATTTTTTTCTTGGGCCCTATGACGTCATGGTTTTAAATATCTGCGAGGCATAAAGTTTCGACCATCCAGCTGATCTGAGATCATGACGTCATAAAGCGTCTCGACAAAACTGAGTTATCATGTGCCTGGTGTTATTTGTCCTTATTCTTCCAACTAATAGTATAAAGGGTGAGGTGTTTCACGTCGGTTTCAGTCTCCTAACTCGCGCGGCCAAATATTTCTCATTGTTTTTGACCGGGAGTGACGGTTCCCGAAACCCTAAGATTTTCGCGTTTTCCATAATTTTGGGAGCACAAGAATGGAAAAAATGGACCCATTTTACCGAGAATCTGTCTCTCTGCATCTACCCGATGTTGGGTGCCGCATTTTCCGACTGTACGTGTGAGTAAATATGCATTTTTCGCCGTAAATTCAACTACGCACTTCAGATTTGTTTAATCTTGAGTTATTTTCATATATTTCAACCTTATGTTTTGAGTTTCTTGTTTCGTTTTTTGTTTTGAAACGCTTTAACACTAGTTGTCCTTTATATTTTGGCCAGCTTTCCTATCATAGGGCTATTTTTAAGGTTTCTTTTATACGTGCATTATGAGTCTTGTTTATAAAGCCGGAAAATGGCGTATTCGACCATGCTTGAGTCCGCCGGAAAATGGCGTATTCGACCATGCTCGAGTCCTATTTCATATATACATTGTACTTTTAAAAAGAAAATTTAAATACCCTCTTATTTCGCAATCTTGCGGAGTTTTCCCACAGTAAACGGCAATGCGTTTTGCAATTGACCTTCTCAAACGCCGATCGATCAGATAGGTCCACTGCAAAAAAAAATCAAGCAGAGTTGATGTTGAATACCATATATGATATTCTTTTAAAAAATGTCTTTCGGACGATCCAAATTTGTCGCACCCAATTCACTTTTGATGGATGAGTTATAGTCCGTTGATTTGCATTGTACATTATATTGAACCGTGATAAAAACTTGAACGCTAAAGGCGGTGTTACACTATGCAATTCTCCTTGCAACTTGCAATGCAATTATTATTTGGAGGGATGTTAATTTGTAAAGAGTGTTCGAAATGCTAAGAAAACGTTAGCAGATCGTAAGAGATGTTCGTATTTGACAACTTTAGATCCCTCAGGAGTAGAATTGCATTGCAAGTTGTAAGGAAAGTTAAATAGTGTACCACTGCCTTAACTTGGCCGCCATCTTTGAAGCCCCATTTAAACGTTTGAGACAGACGTAGAGAGTAATTATCTAGGAATGTCTAGAACTATGTAAAGTACAATCATTTGCTAATTTTTATAAAAATTTATCGAAAAACTGAGTAAAAAACTTATCTTCAATTTTTTGCTTAAACCAAATATAACGCTGAACTATATATAGGAGTTAGCGTTCCAGGTTATATTATACTTCACTGGCATTGTATGGAAAATCAAGTAAATCAAGTATTGAAAGCAAATAAAGTAATGCAAATGCAGTATTGGCCTATCAATGACAGACTAAATTCCATATCTAAGAAGTGGTTCTGGCAGAATTACACTCTTGCTAACTTCCAAATTTAACTCACCTGAGCTCTGGAAATTGAAGATATTCGAATGACGACGCTGTTATCCCTTTGAGCATCAGAAGCTGGTGGTGGATCTTCCGGGAAAGCTGTTGTCGTGAGCTGTATTTTCTGGCTGAGAGCGTTCTCGAGTTCTCCGCCTTGCGTAACCAACATGGATGCAAGGGTTCGCTTCGGAACTGGGGCGGATTTACTTGGGTTGGTGACGTAAAATGAAACAAGTACTTTTCCACCATTATCTTGAGGGAAACCAGAAATTCGACCGACGTGAGCAGATTCGAAGCTTTCGTCTGACCTGGAAAAAGAAATATTCTTCCACTGATGAGTAAAATTATCTGGCATTAGACAGAGTAAAATACTAAACTAGGCCACATCTGGGTGCATTGCAAACTAATGGGTTAACAACTCACCCAGTAAATTTACAATCCTGTTCACGAGAATAAGAATCATCTTTACAGTATCTGCTCAGAATGATGGCAACAGATCGGCGGAAAACAGTATCATAGAAGGTTGTCCACTAGAAAAAATAGTAAAATTAAAAAAAATAATAATATTTTTAGCCTAAACACCTCAAAGTACAGCAAAATTGAAGTTTCCAAAATAGTTCTATGCGGAATAAATCGCTAAATTTAACATACTTTGCAAACTAGTCAGTCTTTTACGACTATTCGATCAGTTTCTAGCCAGTTGCTTTGAAATAAAGGTTTTTCAAATGAGCTAGCTTAGCCGAGATTTTACGAAGCGTAAAATGATTTCGAGGTATTGAAATGAGTGAATAACATGATCCTAGTAGTCGTGTAGTAATCCTAACAATAGCATGTGTTTGTTTGGCTCCTGAAAGACTTATCTCAATACCTCAAAATAATCTCTCGCTATGCTGAATCTCAGGTAACCGAGTTCATATGAACAGTTCCTAACCTAAGAAAATGATCATTGGAAGACTAAGAAACTGTTCTTTTATTTTGTACAACGACAAAATTAAACCATCAATAGACTTTTTGTATTATAGACTACTTTTTTATCTATGTAAGGAAATATAATCAAATCACCACAGCTGAAAAGAGCATACGAAAATTAGCAAAAATGCAAGTTTGGTTGCGAAATGTTGTAAAATTCGGGAAATATAGACTTGCAAAGTTTGCAAATTTTTATACTTTTGTTGAACGCACGGAAATTGTTACCATTTTTGGCCTAAATGTAGTAACAATTTTGGAAACTTTGCAATGCTATATTTTTCGCATTTTACAACATTTCGCAACCAAACTTTGCATTTCTAGTAATTTTAGTACGCTCATTTCAGCTGTGGTGATTTGATTACATTTCCTTGCATAGATCAAAAACTACTCTATAATGCAAAATGTCTATTTCATTACATCGCGCAAAAATCAGTTAACTTTCGCTTAATTTGAGACACCTTGTATAAAATTTCACTTTGCTACCTTGACTGTGGTGAAATCGTGTATTTCCAAAGTCACAGCATTATTTCTCTGTTCGTCACTTGGGTCACGTGGTGCGTCTGGGGTGACTGGAGTGTCCAGGTTAATGCTATAATTAAAAAGCTTTTCAAATTTCGCCAATTCCGAGAAAACAATCGAGGCCAGTATCGCCTTCGGCAGGGAACCAGATTTTATCGTAGTTGGGTAGTCAATGTAGAACTTGATGGTTGTGTTATATTCTCCAACATTCTTTGGATATCCTTGTTGTCGTTCCACGTTGAGACTGCTGAAAAATACCTTGTTCCTGAAAAGCAAGAACGACACAACGTTGTTAGGAAACGACCGTCAGCGACGCTGACTTTCATTCCGTAGACAGTCGATGATTGATGGCCTTTCTTATCATTTAAGGTTGCCCAAGTTGCTACAACACTGCCGATTTAAACGACGAATATATATATATATATATATATATATATATATATATATATATATATATATATATATATATATATATATATATATATATATATATCGTTAAACATGTGGGCTATCCAGTAGTCAAGGGGTTTGTTCTTGTGCTGAATGGCTGATTCGAATATTCAATGGTACCACTTAGTTTTTTCTTTTCGATATTTGCAAACGAGTCCCAAATTGAAGCAGTGACGATACCCTTTGGTTTGTTTTTTAGTTGATTTGAGGGTATGGTTTATTTTCTGCCTATATTTGTCGTTCATAATTAAGACTCTGAGCGCGGGTTCTATTAACCTGGGACCGAGTTAAATGATGAGAACCGCACAATGAACTGTAATAACACTGGAACTCTAGCTCTGCAAAAAATCTGAAGCCAGGATGGTGGAATATGAAACCTTTCTTGTAGGTATGATCCAGGGCTTTAACGCGGATATTTCGTAGGTAAAATGGCGGCAATTATGATTTTTTCCGCGCCAGAGGCCTGGATCATACCTACATGATTCGCCATCTTGGCTTCACTCATTAATGAGGGAAAGTCAGAGAGTGAGCGTTCCAGTTTTATTTGAGTTCACTGGAACCGCCCATCAATGATATACGTTCGACTGTCTGCGGATCGAAATTTGCATCGTCGACAACAGTAATAAAAAGAATTCTCGAAATGCTTGATACATACTGTTCCACTCCGCAATCCTGAGGTCTGAGACGGTTTTCATTACAAAAATCGTTCACTAATGTGACAACGGAATCCTTGAAGAGTGTGTTTACATCCACAGTGTACTAAACAGATGATATTAAATAATAATGAAATTGATGACTGTTTCATATTTCATATTATTATATGGATGGGGGTATTTTACCGAGAACTAAAACACTCGTATAACTCATACGCCACTACATTCGGGGTAGAGTGCGGATATTTTCCGTATGTCACGTTTGGGGGTGACATAACGACTTTCGAAATTTTCCCGCCATTTTTATTGTTGTTGTTGTGAAAATACAAATGGTCTTTGGTTCGTATATAAAACGAAATTAACGTTGGAAATACAAACGAAAACACTTAAAAGACATTCTTAGGCTTTGAAGTTCATGTTAACAAGCATGAACTTACATCTTCTCGCCGAAGGTTCGCCACAGTTATTTCAATGGCGTTATCTGTCTGGTCCGTTGATGCGTTTGGCGGTTCCAGGGCAATGTCTTCTTTTGTATCCTCTTCTCGAACTGAAAACGCAAAAAGATGATTTACAACATAAATACGACGGATTTTCTTGCGGTTTACAACTCTTTGAAAATCTTCCCACTCTCCTGGGAAATTGCACATCCCTCCCCGAAAAAATCCCAGAATTGGGTACCCCCGGAAAGACTAGCAAGCAAGCAAGACTAGCAAGGTTTTCGAACAGCATTTTAACGCACGATATTTGGTTATTTCTTGCCGTTATCACATGAAAAAGATCTTTCTAAAAGGTAAATAGATCTCGTTTCATGCCATTTAAAAATGAAATCGCCATACGAAATATATATAATATATTACTGTATTACGGCATGCTTTATTTTGTTAATTCCCTTGGGACAATTTGATGCATATTTCTAAGAAAGCACCGCTATCATGCATGCAGCATTGTTTTTCCCTACCTCTACACGATTGACCAGCTTTCGTATACCCAGATATGCAAGAACAATTATAACTGCCTTCAGTGTTAACACAAAGTTGATCGCAAAGATTAGTTTCTGTCGTTGCACATTCATTAATATCTGGAAAATCGTCAAACAAGAAAGATAAATTGAAGTTAATGAGTTCACGGCAACCAGGTATATAATCCATCGTAATTATCGCTACTCTGGTTTTAATAAAGTAATCACCACACAAAGATTAACTTTCACGACCCAACGTTTCGACACTCCGGTCTAGTGTCTTCATCAGGGGACACTAGACCGGAGGGTCGAATCGTTGGGTCGTGAAAGTTAATCTGTGTGTGGTGATTACCTTCATTTATTAAAACCAGAGTAGCGATAATTACAAAAGAAAGATAAATTTGACAATGATCACGGAGGTCGGAACGATACAAAAGGTGACAGAATTCTGTAAAAGGCACTACTGTAGCGGAGCAAAGTGCAAAACATCGTCTGTAATCAAAAACAATATTTTTCAATCGGGTCTAGGATAATCTTCATTATTGCTGTAATGACCATGTATTCAACTTTGACAGGAATATTCTATTTATAACCAAATTTTACGAAGCATTAAGGCATAGGAGTTTTAAGCCGCGTTTACACTTCAGGCCTAGCGCTGACTTGGACCAGGTCTAGGACAAGTCCAGGTAATATGTGCCACGTTCCCACTGTCTTCCTTGTTGATGATATCGGATAGCCAAAGCAATTTATAAAATACTTGGAAAAAGACCCAAAACACGCCGAAAAGTGGTAATACTATATGGATCCTATACAAATCATACCATTAAGTTCAAAATTGGTCAGGACTAGGTAAAGCCTGTTCACATTACCAAAATCTTGCCCCAGGTCCGGTGTAGGCCTGGTTCAGGCCACCTTCTACTGTCGGCCTGGATTTTGTGGCCTAGACCAGGTCCAGGCAGGTCAAAGCTTGAAGTGAAAAACGCGGTTTACTCACCATTGCAAGTTTTTTTATCGTCTCCAAGGACATATCCTGCTCGACAGGCACATTTTGGAACCCCTGGTTGAAGAACATCAATGTAGCAGATCTGATTGCAACCATGACCAGACGAACATTCTGTTTGGGCTAAAAAATATTTAAAACAATTCTGCTTAAGGTGGTTCCCTACAATTCTATGTCCGTATCGCGGTAATTTTGATAAGTAATAAGAAATGTAAGTTCAATTGTAAAACGGTCAATAAATGAATATATCCTTGTTTGTTTGAGCAAATATATGACCCGAACAGCGATTCCAAATTCCAACCGAAATATTTTGCGCGAAAACGTTGTGATAAACACATGCGGGCCTTCGTGGGATTGTCGGCTGGTCGCGCGAGGAAATTGAAATCCTGATTTTGACGTCACATATTTAAAAATAGTTTTCATAATACGCGATGTTGTAGCAATTATGTGGCCGAGTTTCGTGATCATACTTTGGAATATAACAAAATAATCGTCTTTTGAACACAATTGTACGCTATATAATCAAAACTTTTGTGAGCCATCTTAAGTTGCGAAGGGGGGTTCTAAAAATTACGAAGTTATTTGGCAGATTATATTTTTTTCTCATTTTGTAATGCGCACGTGAGCTTAGACCAGTGAACTCTATACAACTGGAATGATAACTCCTGACAAACATCCCTATTCAGCTTGAAGGCAAAATAGTTTTTCTGAGTTTTGAGACGAAATACTTGACGCCAGACGTTGGGCTGTGTGTCAAATTAAAACTATTGAAAAGTTATATTTGGTGTGGAAATTTCAAGACTTAAACTACAAAGGAAATATTGAAAAAAAACGAAAACCAGTTACCAATTGGCAAAAAACCCGGAAATTTTGAAATATTTTTAGATATTTTCCTTTAAGCTAAAGTCTCGAAATTTCTACACGAAATATAACTTTTTAATAGCTTTAATTTCATATACGGCTCAACATATGGCGTCAAGCATTTCAGCTCAAAACTTAGAAAAAGTAAAAAGTACTGGATTCAATTTTCTCTGGTTAGTCCATGGCGTAGACTGAACTCGTGCACTATAAATTAAAGTTGGTCGATAGGACTAAATTATAGGAAGCATATACTACCTTTAAAACGTTTAACAGTGTAGAACTCCATCAAATTCCTACTCCAGTTATATATGGAGCTCAACAGTAATACCTATAGTGAACTCAAATAAGACTGAAACGCTCACTCGAATTTTTTAAGGGAAAAATCATAATTGCCGCCATTTTAACTACGAAATTTCCGCGTGGAGGCCTGGATCATACCTACAAGAAAGGCGTCAGTGTCCGCCATCTTGACTTCAAACTTCCGACCATAGAGATTATAAATAACACTAGAGGAGGCATTGGTATCATAAACATCAGTCGAAAAAGGGAGCGCGATAATGGGGGGCAAATTCAAGTCTCGGATGCTAAGCCAAGTGCAGATTGGCTAGATAGATACCTCCTTAATTAGCAACCACATTAGCAACAATATTAAAAAAAGTATATTCGTTATTTAGGTCGCTTTGGCGGTGCTTTATGGAAAAACAGGCTTTTTTAACAGGTTTTACTACCTTAGACACCCTGAAATGATATTTTATGGAAAAAAACATTAAGAGATAGAAAAAACTTGTGTAAAACGATATATTTTGACCTCAGACATCGTGAATGAGTGAACATCCGGGACTTGGATTTGCCCCGCATTAACGCGCTCCCCAATTTCTCCTCGTCCCCCCTCTAGTGTTATTTATAATCTCTATGCTTCCGACAGAGTGAGCGTTTCCGTGTTATTTGAGTTCACCGGTAACACCCACCTTCGCATTCCGTAGGGTTATCTGGATCAATCTTAAAACCAATCCTGCAAGAGCAATTGTATGAGCCGAGGGTGTTGCCGCACAGCTGACTACAGTCATTCGGCTGAGAACACTCGTTGATGTCTGAATGAAAAAAAACATTGAACAGATCAAGGCTAGCAAGCAGAGTTCTTTTAGACAAACAAAGGCCAGCTAGTCTAAATTGGCTACAGAATGTGTTTAAGTGTTTTGCTTTGTTTTTTATATTTTATCTACAAAGGGCTTTTATAAGTCAAAAGTAATTACATAATTTAAATCGAGAAATATCTCGAAAATAATACTTCTAAATAAATGGAAATAGCTCTTGAAAATAAATCATTTCGCTACTGTTGTCTTCGAATATTGCTCCGGTGTAGAGTACAATATTATATTAGCTTTGGCGGGCATCGCGGTGTATTTTGCGAGCTAAAATGATAAATTTGCCGAGATGAAGTATATTTTAGCTCTCTGATCTAAGCGAATCAGAAGAATGGCTAAAGCGTTTACTTTGGCATAATTTTTTATACAAAAATAGCCCTGTAAAGTTAATGTAATAATAATAGTAAACGAGTTCAGAGTCAGGCTAAAAACGCATTTATGGGCATCAACTCTATTGTTATATTAAGAGGAGATTTTTTATTATATGTGGCGTATTTTGGCGGGAAAACGCTCAAAACATAAAATCTTTTCGGCGTACCGCTCAAAATAATTTATTTTACCTTTATTCTTTAGATTATGCTGTTAACTAAGTTTTGAACTGTATTTGGTGAATGCAAAACACCAAACAAAGGAGTTATTACAAAATATAATGCGGCTATCAACAATGTTATAATATCAACGCCATTATCACTGAAATGAATACAAAAGAAGCTTCGATTCAAGTGTCATTTTCTTCTCGGCGTATCCCGAGAAATCTTTTCATTTTTACAATATTTTGAGATTATACAGCAAACATACTTGTTGGGTGCTTTTCAGGTTTGCAAAACATTTTAATGCTGAAAATTTTAGTCCTGTTACATGAAGATATAACTGAGGTTTTGAGCATATATTACTAGACATAGAAAAATATCTCCTCTTAATGGGATTTAGGGAAGATTAATTGTGAAATTACCATTACAACTCCTTTTATCCTGATTTAAGCTGTATCCAGATCCACACTCGCAAAAATAAGATCCGACAGTGTTTCCACAAGTTTGATCACAGCCATCAGTATTAGTTCCGCATTCATCAACATCTACAATAGTGGAATTGGCGCGATGTTGTAAAAGTGAAGTTTTTTGCAAGTATACCTATAGTATCAGATGGCTATATTTTCCGTATTTTACAAAGTTTCGCCGCCAAACTTTGCATTTGCACTAAATTAAGAAAGATTTTTCTAGCTGTGATGATTTATTTTTTTCTAGTTACTTCGATCAAAAATTAGTCTAAAGCGCAAGTCGCCCATTGTTAGGATGACTAAAGCACTGCAAAGATCATGTTATATACTCATATTCAATACCACAAAGTAATTTCACGATTCGTTTAATCACAACTGAGCAGCAAAAATTCCGCCATATCTTTGAAGTCCAAAACATTAAACAAGAAATCTTGGATTAATAAAGAGGTTGACCAAAATATTTTGGATGGTGTCCGAATGATTTGAATAATAATCTCCGGCCATCGCGTACAAGCCTTATCACTGATTCTTACAAATGCAGACAGGAAGGGGGGGGAAGCCCACGCCTGTCCCCCCCCCGGCCTCGTACGCCTGATGTACCGGGTGTACCAGAAAAAAGTACTCCGGTTTGATTCATAATAGCTTCTAAACTAGCTAAGCTATTAAACTGAAATAACTTGCACTAGATAGAGGGAAGACTAACGTAGTTTTTGATGTATTACAGTTGTATTTTACTTAAACATTTACGGAGATATCAATGTTCAAAATTGGTAGCATATTTCTGGATGTGTCTAAATTACGCAAAAAACTCCGTGTCAAATATTAATCAAGCTTTCCTCAACTGAAACATACACTATTAGCAGTAAATAATGCAATATGCGACTTTTTTCTTTGGGGATACCTTAAGCAGCAAATTTGGAATGTACCACACGATCAGCAACCGCAGAATTTAGAAGAGCTTCGCAACTCAATCGTAACAGCATGCCGTAATCTAGAACAACGAATGATCCATGACTCCTTTGACGCAATGGTCTCACGGGCTAGGCAGTGCATTCGTGTTGGAGGACACGCGACTCCGAACGAATAAATCTTCCTTGTTTTCTGTAACTAATAATACTTCGTTTCATAATAAACAATTTGCCAAGTGTCATTTATTTACTGCTAATAGTGCATGTTTCAGTTGAGAAAAGCTTGATTAATATTTGATACGGCGTTTTTTGCATAATTTAGACACATCCAGAAATATGCTACCAATTTTGAACATTGATATCTCCGTAAATGTTTAAGTAAAATACAACTGTAATACATCAAAAACTACGTTAGTCTTCCCTCTATCTAGTGCAAGTTATTTCAGTTTAATAGCTTAGCTAGTTTAGAAGCTATTATGAATCAAACCGGAGACACCCGGTAGATCAATGTGAAACTCGATTGGAAAACTCATGAACGAAAATTATGAATATTCTTAGTAAGAATTTATTTGCGATATGGAACTTGACATGAATGGAGTCACTTACCAAGACAAATGCTTCCATCTCCCTCGTAACCCGAGGGGCAGGCCCCACAGGTGAAGTTTGTTGGATGGTTGAAACACGAGACCAAGGGGTGACAGGGTGGGGTCAGTTCACCAGCACAATAATCCAGTTCTACTTCACAAAATTCGCCCGTCCGCCCATCGGGGCATTCGCAGGTCATGACGAGAAATGCGACATCGATATCAGCGGTCTCTTGTGACGTGGCCTCGGGAATGGTGCACAGTCCACCAGCGACACAGCGACAGAGTCGAATGTTGGGCGAAAGAGTCACGGTGGCGCCATTCGAATCGGACAACAGGAACGTTATGATCGTCTGAAAAGTATTCATAAAACGCATCATGTACTGAAAACTGCATAATGTATAAAATATCCGCAGAAAATTGTTAAGTCGGGGTGGTGGTGGGTGGTGTGTTCCCCCAAAGCGCTAACATGAATATGTTAATATTCCCACCCCCGCACATCTTCCTCTATTCGAGGTGGTATACTACCAGTATGACAATAACCTGTATAACATATGTCATCATATTTCGCTAGTATGAAAAATTTGTAAGACAAGGTCTTTAGGTCATTCTATCTTTTTAGACCAAGAATGTTAGCAAGAGAGATACCAGGTGGGGGTGTCGGATAGTGGTTTTCCAATCTGTCTAACTAAAATTGCCCGTTATTTGGTATGACCTAAAGTAAATTTTGTATTTTTAAATTGGGGAATTCTCTTTCATAACCCATAGCTTCAAATCTGTGATTTCATTGCTCTTAAAGCGTATCTAAAATAGCTCAAAAAATCACTATCCGGTGGAAAGCACTACCCAGCTTCGCACAATGATACTCTTAAAGTCTTCTGACTAACAAGGGGGAATTTCGTTTTAGACTAATCAGCACGTTTGTTTACATTTTCAGTAAACTAATCAGAATGCATAAATTTTGATTAAAAGTACAATATATACCATTTTACATGAAGTATTTCAAATTTAAGCATTTTGATTAGCTTTGCCAAGTTTGTTTACATTTTCAGTAACCCAATCAGAATGCTTTAATTTTGATAAGTACAATATATACAATTTTACATGAAGTATTTAAAATTTAGGCATTCTGGTTGGCTTTGCCTGAAAAATGTAAACAAATGTCGCCATATTAGTTTAGACTTTAGAACGAGATTCCTCCGTGTTGTTCTGGGACTGGTTGTATCAAGCGCGTTTAGCTTAAACGGCGGATAAGTCAAAATTAAATAACACTCTTACATCTCTCTTGAATGAGTCAACTTGAATATTATGCACTGAATATGTAGTTGTAAACAGTATCTTTGTATTAAGGTTAAAAACATTTTGTTCGCTTGTTGAATAAAACGGCAGACTTGCTTTCAATGCTGAACTTAACCACCCTCTAAGCTAAACGGGCTTGATACAACCGGTTTTTTAATTACAATCAGTAGTACAGTAGTAATCAGTAATATATAAGCAGTACCTCGTCTGGTGACATAACATGCCAAATAAAAAACAGCCTGTTTCCAGATTGATTGAAACTTGCTCCTTCTGGTATATCGGGAACGTCGAATGTCAAATTGTCGCCGTCTGGGTCTGTGGCATCCAAAACCAGCTGAAATGTCGCGTTGAGCGTCACTCTGATCTCTGTAATATTTTGCCTAAACTCTGGAGCGTTGTTTACTTAACAAAAAAAAATATCAGCCATATATCAGAACAATTATTTCGTAGGAAACGGATTTGAAATATTGTACTAATTTTAGTATTCTCTCTTTAAAAAATTGAAAACATTTTCCGTGTTTCTATACAGTTTTAGTATACACCCGACTATTGTCTATTACAAATCCTACATTCTGATTGGCTACTCAACTATTTATTGTCTATTCGTGATGGTGAACGTTTGGGAAAACGCGCAACCGTATAAAATTGAATTAATTAAATTATTTTTCGGTGTAATTGCGGTGTATCGATTATTTTCTCGATATTAATATATCTAGGTACAGGGTGTATACTAAAACAATTAGACAACTCCCCTTTTGTTGTCTATGAACGAATAGTCAACTCGGACTCGTTGTCTATTTGTTAAATAGAAACACGCGTGGGAGTTTGGGAGAACGAGAAATAATCAATTTTTTCAATTTCTCCCGAACTGCCCAAGTGTTTCTATACTGAAACCCAGGGGAAAATGTTTTCTATTTCTTTTATAATATAACTCAATAAAAAGATTTTGTACAAATATTATAATTCAATTCAATTACAAATTCTCATTATATCACTTCGCTTGTCAAGTTTGGCGGAAAAATACCCATATTTCTATACAGTTATAGAAACACGCTTCTCGACCAATCAGCACGCGCGTACAATAAATATTACATTACAATAAATTTTATTGACGAAAAGTTTTTAAAGTCATTCAAAATGATGTTTACAAGAACAAATTTTACGACCATATTAAGTTAACCGGTTTGAAAAAGCCAGAATACGCGCTTTACTCAATTTAAATTAAATTTACCAAAACCACGAACGAACTATCTAAAACGTAGCTTATGCTATAGCGGGGCTTTGCTATGGAATAGCTTTCCTGAAGAAATGCGTAATTTAACCCTCTTTCCTCAATTTAAGAAAGCTACAAATGATTATTTTACTAATATATATAGCGACTCTCTCACGGCAATTTTGTAAACCAGTTGTATTTTTTAACTGAATATTCCTCCGTGTTTAAATAAATTGTTTGTATTGTATTGTATTTATTTCATTAAAGTTTGAGCAAAATTCCTTAAAGTTTCAGCTTAAATCCACGTGGTTCAAAAAGAACAAAAACTTACCCGCAATTTTGATTTCATTTCTAGCGCCGTCGCTTTCGGTCAGCGTCGATACCCCGAGGCGAGGGCAACTTGCTTAGTCGCGGCGATATCAAAGAGACAGGTGACGTCATTACCACAGACGCTCTCGGCTTCTCTTTTTAAATCTTCATCAATCGATGCCAGGGCTTCTTCAGAGAAAATTGCGACAAAATTGTCTGGACAAACGTAGTTCTCGTCATTGTCGTCTATGACTTCGTATATTGTCTCGTTCTTGGGTACCCTCCCTACAAATGTGCATTTTTCAGCCCGGTTAACACTACACTCGATTTATTGGCACGGCACAGCTAAAATGGATACCCGTGCCTATTTCATCCGTACCCGGCCTTTGTCTTGGCCCTGAACAGTAATAAAGCGTTTTTACCAGGGGCCGGTTGTATGAAAGCTGGATTTTTTCAATTGGTTTAAAATCGCCCGTTCTTTGCCATAACTTTGATTAAATCTTAGTATTCCTAAATTGAGGATCCTCTTTAACAATTATTGGTTCCAAAGCTGATATATTTTATTTTTTATAAACGTGATCGCTTTCTTTTCAAATGTGTTAAGTCAAGCTCATCTAATTAGTTTCGCCTGATTGTCTATATTTCAAATGGGATCAAAGGATCGCACAACATTTTGCACTGAATGAAAATCCGCCTTTAGGGGCTGTTTACATGAGCCCGGTTACCCGAGATTCAACGAAGCGTGAGAGGACTTTGATATATTGAAATAAGTCTTTATGACACCAAACAAGCACATGCTATTGTTGTGGTGATTATACGACTGCCAAGACCATGTTATCTGCTCATTTCAATACCTCAAAATCATCTCACGCTTCGTTGAATCTCGGGTACCGGGCTCATGTAAGCAGCCCCTTAGGCCTAAATTATACGTCGCATTTTCGTCGCGTCGAATGCAATTCAAACAATAGATAATAAGATGGTACACCTCATTAAGCTTCATTGCCATCTCATTATCTATTGTTTGAATTGCATTCGACGCGACGAAAATGCGACGTATAACCTAGGCCTAAAGGCCGGCGCACACTAGAGCTATGTGCTTAGCAAAAAGTCATTCGTGGCCATTGGCGTAAGCCAGTTGCTCTCGTGTGCGGGCGACGTTTCAGGCGACTTTGGTCATTCGTGCCACTTACGGCAATTATGTAGCATGTTTGATAATTTCTGCCTCGCGTGACAAAATCCTTCCGTGTGCGGCAAACTGAAAGCTATCTGCTTATGGATTGTCTTAACAGCGCATGCCGCATGCGTAATATACGAAAGTAAACATACAAACATGGCGATGCAAACAAAGCAAAATGAGATGGTGGATGAAAGTGAAAACGAAGAAGTTTTATTATTTTTGTTGTTATTGCGTCGCCGTCGTCGACGATTACGAGCACTGAATCGTCGTACGTGGACGAAGGATGGATCATGAGACGACATGGCCAAGGAGCTTACGCAAATTTAGTTCAAGAACTAAACTCAGAAGAGCCAGAGCAATTTCGACAATACCATCGTCTTGACAGGCAGTCATTTGAACTCATTTTAACTATGGGGAATCCATTGATAGTAAAGCGAGACACGCAAATGCGGTTTTCGATCAGCCCGAGGGAATGTCTCACTGTCACAATACGTTTCCTTGCAACAGGTCAGGTTTCTACACATTTTTATATTAAAAGATCAAAGCTCGTATTTGTCATAGGCAGCCCAGACATGTTTTCGTTCTCGTGGCGCTCGCGCGTGTACACGAGTCTACTTGGTCTATTATTATGACAAGGTTGGCAAGTTTTTTTACTAAAATATACTACAACGTTTGCTACGGCCTGAATATCTTGCAAATTACAGATAAAAATATAAAAATTACATCGGTTTAAACGCCGGTAATTTGACTACATTCTCCCGAAGTTTTAACTTCAAACGTTAATTTTAAGGATGCTAAAAAAGCAAATGTGTATCGATATTTTGACAACATTTTGTCAAGACTATGCTAGTGGCACCTACCCTGTGGTGTCGTCATCATTTAGATTTGCAAACAAGAAACAGATTGGCTGTCGTTTTTTCAGTTGGAAATTTCGCACGCAAGAGCCAATCAGTTTTCTGTTTGCAATTCAAAATTATGACGACACCACAGGGTAGGCGCCACTAGCATAGTCTTGACAAAATTTTGTCAAAATATCGATACACATTTGATTTTTAGCATCCTTAAGATTAACGTTTGAAGTTAAAACTTCGGGAGAATGTAGTCAAATTACCGGCGTTTAAACCGATGTAATTTTTATACTATTTTTATTTGTAATTTGCAAGATATTCAGGCCGTAGCAAACGTTGTAGTATATTTTAGTAAAAAAACTTGCCAACCTTGTCATAATAATAGACCAAGTAGACTCGTGTACACGCGCGAGCGCCACCAGAACGAAAACATGTCTTTGTCTGGGCTGCTA